GAAAGATTCTCACCAGTGGGCCTGTTGACAGCACCTTGATAGATGGAGAAGAGATTGAGGTTGCTAATAATTACAGCTTACTCTGTTCTACAATCAATATTCTTGGCACAAGCGATCAGAAAGTCAAAAGACATATTGCATCAGGAAAATCTGCTGTCAGGCACCTCTCCACAATACCAAAGAGCAATGATGTCATTCTAGAGACTAAGGTGCACCTGATCCAGGCCATGGTCTTCACAGTTTCTTTCAGAGAGTTGGATAATGACTAAAGATGACAGAAGAAAAATTCATGCCTTTGAATTGTGTTGGAGAAGAGTATTTAACATACCATGGAACATCAAGAGAACAAACAGGTCTGTCTTAGAGAGAGTGAAACCAAGTTTCTCCTTGGAGGCTAGAATTATGAAGCTCTGTCTCACATACTTTGGGCATGTGGCCAGGAGAGACCAGTTCTTGGAGAAGGACATCATACTTGGAAGGGTGGAGAGACAGCACAGGTGAACAAGACCACATTTGAGATGGATTGGTACGGTAACTGGGGCAATGTGATTAGGTGTGTTGGAGTCAGTGAGATTGACTCAGGATAGGGCAGGGTAGGATGGAGCTGATGTACACAGGGAAGCTATGAATCATGGGTGACTCGATGGCATGTAACAATAACACAAACAAGTGCTTAGGGAGCTCTGGTGGCCTAGTGGTAAGAAGCTGTGCTGCAATCCCAAAGGCACGTGTTTCTAATCCACCAGATGATCCAAGGGAAAAAGATGGACACTCTGCTCTTGTGCAATTAACTGCCTCTGACAGCCTGCTGGAGGGGCAGCTATGGGTCGGTTCTGACTCAACAATACACAATAACAACATAACCAGAGCTTAACAAAACCAAAACCAAGTCAGTTGCTATTGAGTCAATATCAACTCATAGAATATTTAATAAATATAAATTCGTGACCTGGGTTGTGCTAATTCTTTCTAAGAAAGAAATGACATTATCATGTTAAATAAATGGGTAACGGGTAGGTTATATAACAAATTATATGAGGATGGATGACTCATCACTTGGAGTATTTATGGCTAAATTATAACCTCAGACCTTAGATCAAAATCAATTACATTGTAATGTTGTTGATATGTCCCACTGAGTCAGAACTGACTCCTAGATTGACCAGCCAGTTGGCTTTCAGAGGCTCTAAGTCACATACATGGGAGGAGAGTGCTCGTTTTTCTCCCGGAGAGCAGTGGATGGATTCAAACCACTTACCTTTGGGTTGGCAGGGGAACTCCTTATTGCTATGTCATCAGAGCTCTCCATATGTAGTAATAACTCCACTTCCTAAACAACATGCCTCTGGAAACTCTATGAACTTTGAGAAATGACGATAGGTATAGAAAGGCTTCAGGCTTTTTGTTCATAGGGTCGCTATGAGTATGCGACATGATAGCACTCAATAATAACAACAACAAACAAACAAACAAACAAACAAATAAATAAATAACATGGCAATATTTTTTCATAAACTCACAGTCAATATGCTAGGAGAAAACACAGGTTCATCCTGGAGAGGGTGAAACCAGGCTGCTCCTTGGAAGCAATGATTCCAAAGCTTCATCTGACATACTTTGGGCATATTGCAAAGAGACACCAGTCCTTGGAGTGAGCCGTGGGGGGGGGGGAGGGACAGCACAAGAGAGGAAGATCCTCAGATAATGGGGGTAGGTGTGTTGGAGACAATAAGATTGGGACAAGATAGAGCAGGGTTTTGGGCTGTTGTATATAGAATCGCTGAGTCACAGGTGACTTGATAGCACGTAATAACAACAACAATGTAGTCAATAACTACATAGGAAAAGACTAGTAGACTTAAGCAGATATAGAAATATTTACCAACTCATAACTCATTGCCTTCAAACTGGAACTGACTCAAAGCTGACCCTCCAACATGTTTTCAGAGACTATAAATGGTGCAAGAAGAGATTACTCTTGGAGCCACTGGTGGATGTGAACTGCCGGAGAGACCCTGTGTTTGTGCTAGCAGTGCAACTCCCTAAGCCACTTAAACGAATTTATGAGTTAGAATACTAATAAGAAGTCTCTATCAATAAAAATTATCAATAGAAATATATATATATATATTTGTTGTTGTTGTTGTTGTTATGTGCCGTCGAGTCGTTTGTGACTCATAGCGACCCTATGTACAACAGCCCTAAACCGTGCTCTATCCTGTGCCAATCACATTGCCTCTGACACACCCATCCCGATTACCCCAGTCACTGAATCAATCCACCTCATAGAGGACCTTTCCCTCCTGTGCTGTCCCTCTACTCTACCCAGCATGATGGCCCTCCCTAAAGACCTGTCTCTCCTTAGAACATGTCCAAAGTATGTCAGACGAAGCCCCAGAATCCTTGCCTCCAAGGAGTAGCCTGGTTTAACCCTCTCTAGGACAAATCTGTTTGTTTTCTTGGCAGTCCAGGGTACATCCACCTTCAGCAGCTCCTTTTCATTTTCTGAATGACTACTAAATATTATATATGCAGATATATCGATATATATGTATATAGAAATTATATACAAAATAAACTGTGTTCATAACTTGGTTTTAAAAAGACTTCAATATTATTTTTTCATTTGTGTGTATATATATTTTTATTGGTTTTCCATATAATAATTCCTTTACCTAGTTTCATTCATATATGTTGTGTTTTATACAGTTTTTAATTGACATTGTGTTTCCTGCACATTCATATATATTCTATTTTACATTTTGGGGTTTTTTTAAATTGGAGTTGGTCTTCTTATAGAATCTTTACAGGCTGCATATCCTTTAGTGAAGGTGGAAGAAAGTGTTTCTCTGAAGACACAGTATAGTACTTTCGAGGACTGGAAATAAGAGTATGATACATGACTTGAGTAGGAAGGGACCAATGTATAGGAGATGAGGTGAGATCACAAAGGGACTTACAAATTCCACTAAGAAGTTGAACTTTATCCTAAGAACTATGCATTTATACAGGGCAGTTAGAAGCCATGGCATGACTTGCCGAGGAAGTCACAAGATGGACTCATGATTTACAGATTTGCTCAGGTCAGAGAGAATGTCAGGTTCTCTAAACAGTGAGGATGAGAGATGAAAGTGGCCTGGACTAGGGAGTAAGAAAACATGCATGGACTTGAGTGACAGATCAGATCTGATCATCATTGACCAGATGAGGATTTGTCGAAGGGTCAAGACACCACATTTCTGGCTTTGACAGTTTGTGGATGTTGGTATCTTTCACTGAAGGGTGGATGGGTAGATGGTGAATATTTTAAGAAGATTTAAAAAAGAGAACCCAGAGTTCCTGAGTTGAGGATTGAATGAAGAAATGGATGAAAATGTTCTTATCTCTCATCCTTGGCCCATGTATGACTTCCTTTCCCCAGACACACCCCTGTCCTATCAGCCAACCTTCTCCAGATTGTAACACGGTGCCATCTTCCCGCTCTCCCTGTCACTCCACCTCCCACAATCTGCCCACAATAACCACCTCCACTCAAAGTGAACCTCAGCACAATGTGCAAGGTGCCAGTCACTCCTGACAGCAGTGATGTGGGTTCCTAGAAGAGGACTGGGCACTTCCCAGCTAGCAGAGAACTCTTGCTCTAGTCTGAGGTCCACATTATACAAAATTCATACATACTCGCTGTCTCCTCTGCCCACCTGAAACACGTTTCTAAGGTAATCACTGTAGAGTCTTTAATTATAATAAGAAGTTAAGCTGAACTCAGAAACCTAAACCACAGATACAAGATACAAAAGGGAGGAAAATCCTCTTAGGCTATACTGTTAACGTTTGTGTCTGTGTCATATATATCTTCTTCCCCTGACCCTTTAGTCTGGGATAGATGCCTGTGTTATTTATTTCATGCCTTTTATTACCCCTTTTATAACATACATCATGACTTGTTTAGTATTTGTCTATCTCAACTCTGATCACTATGAGACCAGGAGCAATACCTCTTTTGCTCATGTCAATGCCCATTAACTAGCACAAACAGACACTAAAGAAACATATATCCAGTTAAACTGCATTTACTTGGCTCCTTAACTGACATTTCTTTTTCAGCCATCTTTGGTTATAGTAAAAAAAACAAGGCTAAAAAAAAAGAAACCCCCCAAAAAAACCAACAACCCGAAACAAAAAACAAGGCAACAGACTGTCTGATTGGCAACAGACAGAAGAAAAAGGGTTAGTTATCACCTGAATTAGAATTTGGGGCGGGGTGTCTGTGTGTGTTTGAGGACCAGTGAGTGAGGAAGTTAAGACAGGCCCTTTTTTAGAGCTTTGGAGCGCCAGTATCTCCAAGGAAGAATCATGGGCTTGTACGGGAATTGAGTGTTAATAAAGCTCTGGTGTTTTAATGACATATTGTTCTGATTATATTCCATCAGCTTGGAACTGGCTCCTAGCTGAACCTCCCGCAATTTTTTAAGGGCAGTTAATTGCACAGGAGTCTGTCCGTCTTTCTCCCTGGAGCAGCTGGTTGATTCAAACTGTGTGCCTTTGGGTTGATGGCACAGCTCCTTACCACTAGGCCACCAGAGCTCCCTTTTAATAGCAGAGATGGAAAAATAACAATACGTCACTCTGTTTGAACAAAACTACCATCCTAAACCCAAGTGGAACAGTGACAACTTTTTAGAGGGTCAATCACTTAAAGGTGACAGGGAAAGAAAGACATTTTTGAGACAGAAAAATGAAAATTTCTTTTCTCCAAAACAGACTGACTGTTGAGGGTCTGTGTGGCTCAGAAGGGCTGAGCCACTCCCATGGCACCAGTTCCCCATGGGAAAAGAAAGCATCTCTAAGTATAATTTTCCAGCTTTCCTTGAAACACCAATTATTTGGCCAGTGTAGAAAGAGGGCAAGGTATTTGAACTGGTTTCCCTGCCTCTTGCTACTATTTGCAAAATCCTGCCATAGATAACTTTTTCCGATCTAAACCGTCAGGCTGAACTTACCCTCTGCTGCAGATTATTTCCAGGGCTTCTAAGTTGCCGTGGTAAGCTGCCAGGAGGGTGGGTGTCATGCCATCGTCGTCGGAGAGATTCAGATCTCGCCTGGTAGCCTCTTTGAGAAGCTCCAGGTAGCTATCACTAGCGGCCTGGTGGTACCGGGTAGACATTTTCCTGCTCGCCAAAGCTCGGCCAAATGCCTCTCTGGAGGCAGCAGGATATGGACCTAACAGCCAGCCCACAGATCTGGTTAATCAGTGACAGAGAAGAGCCTTGTTCCAGGGCAAAGCTCATCCCAGCCAGATTCTTGGAAGGCAGCCAGAGGTGGCATTGAACTTGGACCTTTTCCTTCTGGAACAGCAGTGTCATTGATCACTAGAACTCAGCAGTACTCATCTCAGGTGTTCTCAGGCCAATTTCATCTTTTCCTCCCTCTTATTACTATTAGCAAGTCTTGTTGTTATGTGTCATTGAGTCACCTGCGACTCAGCGACCACAGCCCCATACCCTCCTTTATCCTATGCCAATCTATCCCCATTACCCCAGTCACTGAATCAATCCATCTCAGTGAGGGTCTTCCTCTCCTGCTCTGTCCCTCCACCCTCTCAAGCATGACATCCCTCTCCAAGGACTGGTCTCTCCTTGCAACATGTCCAAAGTATGTCAGACAAAGCTTCAGAATCCTTACCTCTAGGATGAACCTGTTTGCTCTCTTAGCAGTCTGTGGTATATTCAGTACACTTCTCTAGCAGCATAATTCAAAGGCATCAATTCTTTTTGTTTTTTTAAAAACATTTATTTTATTATTTTGTGTGTGTATACTGTCAAATCAGATCTGACTGGTACAGGAGAAGATTGTTACTCCTTCTCCAGCAGAGCATCTGGTGGATTCAAACTGCGTGCCTCTGGGATTGCAGCACAGTTTCTTAAAGGCATCAATTCTTCTACCATCCCAAGTCATTTTCCAGCTAATATTATGGAAACCATTCATACACACAAAAGCATACATCTAGACCCCAAGGGCAGAAACTAACTTCTAAAAATGTCAAGGCTTGTCTATTTCACTCAGGAGGTCAGTTTCTTTTTTAATCATTTTAGTGAGGTGAGGGAGTTCTGGAGACACAGTTCATAGGGAGCTGCACTGCTCATCTGAAGGTCACAGCTCTCTAGTGATTGGAATCCACCAGCTGCTCCACAGGAGAAAGATGGACAATCTCCTCCTGTGTGATTCACTGCCTTAGAAAACCTGCCAGAGGGTCAGCTACGAGTCAGTTCTGACTGCACAGAATCGAGACATGAGAGAGAATTATTGAGGGACAACTTCTTGTTGTTGTTGTTGTTGTTATGTGCCAGCGAGAAATTTGCAACTCACAGCGACCCTACGTACAAGAGCCCTAAACGCCGTTCTATCCTGTGCCAACTTCTCTGTCTCAAACACACTCATTCCCACCACTCCACTCACAGAATTCATCCATCTCATTGAGGGTCTTCCTCTCCTGTGCCGTCCCTCCACTCTCCCAAACATGATGTTTCTCTCCAAGGACCAGTCCCTCCTTGCAACATGCCCAAAGTATGTCACATGAAGCTTCAGAGTCCTTGACTCCAGGGAACATTCTGGCTTCTCCCTCTCCAGAACAAACCTGTTTGTTCTCCTAGCAGTCCATGGTATATTCAACACTCTTCTTCAGCACCACAACTCAAAGGCATCAGTTCTCTATCATCCCTATTTACTGTCCAACTCTCTGATGCATAGCACGTAATTGCAAAGACTATATAGCCTGGATCAGGCACACCTTAGTCTCCAGCCTGACATCGTTGCACTTCATTACTCTTGAGAGGTCCCTCACAGCTGACTTTCCCAATGCAATTCGTCTCCTGATTTCCTGGCTGCTGTTACCAAGAGTGTTGACTGTGGAGCCAAGTAAACAAAAACTGTTAACTATCTCAGTCTCTTCACCATCCATACTGATGCTGCCAATTGGCCCAGTGGTGAGGGACAACTTACGTATTATAATATTCATTATTGATGGTTTTAAAAGTAAATTGATTGTAATGCAAACTTACCACTACAAAGCAATTTTAGAACATTTCTGTTATCCTAAAATGTTCCTCCTGCTTGTAAGTAGTCAACCCCTATTTGCATTCCTGTCCCCAGGAGAATGCTAATATTCTTCCTATACCTATAAATTTGTTTCTTTTTTCAGCATTTTGCATAGATGGAATCCTACAATGCGTAGTCTTCTGTCTCTAACTTGTTTCTCTTGGCATTTTCTTTTAGGTTCTTCCTAGTTGTAGCATGTAACAATAGTTCTTTTGATTTTTTAAATTTTCTACTAGTTTATTTACAAAATTCGAGTACATTGTTTTCAAGAACAAATTCTTTCAATTTACCTCATCCCCTCATCGAACAAATTGTACAATCCCATAATTAAAACCCCCTCCCCCTGCACATCATTTTTTAAAATTGTTAAAGAACATGTCGTTGTATTAATGCACATTTGTTCTGTCTATTCAACATTAGATGGACATTGAAATGATTTCTAATTTTTTTGCTATTAAGTAAAATGTAGGTATAGTGGCAAGAAGCTGCACTGCAATCCTAGAGGTGCACGGTTCAAATCCACCATATGCTTTGCTGGAGAAGGAGGAACAATCTCCTCCTGTACCAGTCAGATCCGATTTGATGGTACATGCACAAAAAATAATAAAATAAAATAAATTTTTTTTAAAAATGTAGGTATAAGCATTTACTTAGGGAGCTCTGGTGGCCTGGTTGGGAAGAAGCTGTGTTGTTATCCCAAGGGCACGCACTTTGAATACACCAAGTGTTCTGCCGGAGAAGAATGGGCATCTCCTCTCATGTGATTAACTGTCTGTGAAAAACCCGCCCTGGAGGGTCAGCTATGGGTTTCATATTCCCATTAGCAATTTATGAAAGTTCCAGTTTCTCCACATTCTTGGCAACCTCTGTTATTACTAGTTTTGGTTGTTGTTTTTGGGTTTTTTGTTTGTTTGTTTTTGATTTTAACCACTCGAATGGTTATGAAATGGTATTTCATTGTGTTTTCATTTCTATTTCCCTGAAGAACTGTGGTGGAAGAGTGGTTAAGCAATCAGCTGTTAGCCAAAAGTTTGGCAGTTCGGACCCACCAGCTACCCTGTAAAATAAAGATGAGGCCATCTTCTGTAAAGATTACAGCTTTAAGAGTTCTAATGGGTAGGTCTACTCTGTCAATAGATGATTCACTCTGAATCAAAAACATGACGGTACCTACCAATATGCTAATAGTTCTAGGAGCTCTATGGAGGATATTATCACGTATCTGTAAAATTAAAACTATTAATTTATAGAGAGTGAAATACTCAGTCATGACTGTAGGTGCTGATCAGTAATAAACCTATTTACTCAAAACCTTAAGGAAACAAAGTCAATGGGAGATGGTGCTGTAAAGATTAACAAAAAGAACTAACCCAGATTTGCATATAATGTGGACACTAACTGCTTGTGAAGATTTTTTGTAACTGTGGGCAATTAACAGTTTCGACTGGATGCTTCTGGGATTCATGTTGGTTTTATGGAAACAAGTATTTTATTCTAACAGGGCTGCTGGGCTCTTGTTTGTTGTTGTGTACTGTGGAGTTAGAACTGACCCGTAGTTGACCCTCCAGTGACAGTTAATCACAGTTAAGCGTAGTTGACCTTTCAGAGACAGTTAATCACACAGGAGGAGATTGCCCATCCTTCTCTCACGGAGCAGCTTGTGGTCCTTCAAAATAAAAAAAAAGAAAGAAAAAAAAGAACCGCACTCCTATCGAATGGGTTCCTAGTCATAGCGACCCTCCGTTGCATTTCAGAGGCCGTAAACCTTAACAGGAGCAGACTGCCCTTCTATCCTAAGGAGTTGTTGTTGTTGTTATGTGCCGTCCTGT